AAGGCTGTCCAGAAACTGTTCCAAAGCAATCCAGAAGCTTTGGAAAGACTGGTTGATGTGCCATGTAAATATTTATTTTAAAATGACACTCAAGAGAGATGCACAGGGCTTAGAATCATAGCTCTTTGGCAGTGCTGCCGATGATACAGTAGAATTTAGCTTGTAAACTACTTTGTTGTAAAACTTGGGTTGTCGCAGTCATAAAAGAGGAATCTGAGCAAATCTCACCCTAGGTAGCTTTAGCAACTGCACCTCTCATATATTACTCTTTGGGCAGATTTTTCTGATTGCAAGGTTTTAGGGCTGGAGATTCACCCTGAATAATGTCTGACTATTACCTACTTAAAGGTCATGACCAATACCTACTTAAAGCCAAGGTGAATGTGGCCCTGGCATCCTGTATGAGAGGGTGCCCAGTGAAAATGGTCCACCCATGGAGGTTTATGAATCCTACTGGATTCTGGACCACTTTGGGGGGTTTTGGGATCCCAAATATGTGTTCTGTTGAGGCCACAGTGCAAACAAGGAACTTGAAGCTCCTTGGAGCTATCAACAAGGTTGCCCCTTGCTGACTTCTCCTGCCCTATGGTGGTCTAAAAATGATTGGGAGACATCTAGAATGGCACTGGTGGAGAATTCATACTGAATCTGACAGATCATATTATAAAGCTTATTGTAAGACCTATGAAGCAATGGTGATGGAGACAAAGAGAGGTTATTAGCTAGTTCACTTTCATCCCAGTTGTTCAAGGTAGCTCAGCATTTGCTGCTGCTTAAATCTGAGCCTCTAATGTCCCAGAAACAGACAATTAGCTGTGACACTTTTGCCAAATGTTTTGCTGATAAAATATCTGGATGTCAGTTATAACATAGGTACACCAGAAGAAAGGCCTAATACAGCTCCTGGGCTACTTATGGATCATTATGACCCGGTTTCCACAATGGATATAGACAAGATCCAAGGATCTGGGATCCAAGGGTACTACTTGCATCCTGGTTACAATACCATCCCTGCAGAAAAATGATGTGCCCAATTATTGTGTGGTTTCTAACCTACCATTTCTAGACAAAGTGTTAGAAATAGCAGTTGTGAAATGACTCTGAGTGTTCTTGGATAACTCATCTGCTCTACACCTTTTTCAGTCTGGCTTCAGGCCAGGCTATGGGACAGAGACTGCTCTGCTAGCTTTAGTTGATGACCTCTGTCTGAGTGTAGACTAGGGGTGTGCATTTGGCAAAGCTGAATTGAATAAATACCCGAAAAATACCTTATCAGTATTTTTCAAATATGTATTTAGCCAAATCAAATTCTTGAATCTGATTTGGCAACTGATAAGGTGCTCCCAAATAAAAGCCGATCTGAGATAAAAATAAAAGAGATCATGCCACCTGCAGTCAAAGCAGAAGCATTACATGCAGCTCTGGTCCCTCGTTATTTTTTAGATATTTGCTAAAGGTCATTACTATGAACTGGGGTGTGTGTACCTCATGGCACCTGCTAAACTAACCGATTTATTGTGACATATGGTGGAGTTCAGCCCACTTCATCATATACCTAAAAATGTCACACCCTATAGTTGCTTTTCTAGGCTGACTGTAGTGTTTCCAGTTTTGTTTTTGTATAACCATGCATATATGACAACTGAGGACTGACGTCATGCATTTGATGAAGTGGGCACAAATCACTGAAAGCTTATCTCTCCTTATAATAAAAGAGTTTTGGTGTCCCTCCTGGACACGCTTCCACAGCCTTTCGCCCGCTCAGCTGCCACTCTCACAGTCTCCCAATCCCGTGGCTGCATTGGCTTGCTGCGTTGGCTCGGCCCCGCCCACTGAGCCGCCAGGCAGCGTTTTGCCCTCAGTCTGGAGTGAGCCGGCGAAGGGGATGGACGCTCCACCGAGAGAGCAGCAACCCCTCCATGGGGGAGAAGGAGGCAGACCTAGCGAGCGGCGGCAAGCAGGGGAAGCACTCACCTTCGCTTCCCCTCGTGGCCCCTCTCCCTTGGCTGCAAGGCCTGCACTTCGTCAGGGCGATAGCTCAGCGGGCTACACCACAGAGAAGGCTGCCCAGCGCCTTTCAAAGGCTCCCCCACCTTCCTTCAGCAGCGGTGGCAGCGCCAGGGAGGGTCTGGCCTAGAGGAAACAAGCTGCGGCTCCTAGAAAGCTGGACTCTCTCCTGAGGAAGACACTTCTCTTGGCTCCTGTGTGGGACTAACTGTGACTAACTGTCTCCTCAGTGGCTGTTGGTAGGCAACCAACTTCTGTCAGTAAAAAAACACTTTCCTGTCAGAATAAACTTAAAATGGCTCTCTCTCCTTTTTGCCTCCATCATGGCTGGATGGCTGGCTAATGAGGTGGGCCAGCGACCATCAAACCATTCTCTTCAACCCCTGGCTGTGCGGCTGACTTTCCCCTAGGGTTGCCAATCTCCAGGTGAGCTGTTACAATCTCCAGATGACAGAGATCAGTTCCCCTAGAGAAAATGGCTGCTTTGGAGGGTAGACCCTATGGCATTATCCCCTGCTGAGTCCTTCCATCCCCCCAATGCTGCCCTCCATAGGATCCACCCCCCAAATCTTCAGGTATTTCCCTAATCAGAGGTGGCAGCTGTGCTTTCTCCTCAGTGCCTGTTGCTAGGCAACCAAGTTCTGTCACTAAAAGGCCCTTTTCACACTTATTTTGGCCTTTGAGAGAACACTCCTCGGGGCCCATCCTGATAAGGTTGCCAATTCCAGCTGGGAAATTCCTGGAGATTTGAGGGATGGAGCCTGGAAAGGGTGAGGTTTGAGGGGTGGGACCTCAGACAGGTACAATGCCATAGACTACACCCTCCAAACCAGCCATTTTGTCCTGGGTAACAATTGCTGCCAATCTCCAGGTGGGACCTAGAGATCTCCTGCTGCTACAATTGATCTCCAGATGAGAGAGATCAGTTCCCCTGGAGAAAATGGCTGCTTTGGAGGGTAGACCCTATTTCATTATCTCCTGCGGAATCCTTCCATCCCCCCCAATACTAAGCCAGCCATTCCCCCATGGGGAACCATTGTTGCCAATCTCCAGGTGGGGGCTGGAGGTCACTCAGAATTACAACTGCTCTCTAGGAGGGAGGGGGAGGAGATGGAAAACTGAAGCCAGGGGGCATATAACGGTAGGTTGACAGTTGGCTGGGAGGGAGATCAGGTTGCCAACTCCAGGTTGGGAAATTCCTGGAGATTTGAGGAGTGGAGCCTGGAGAGGGTCAGGTTTGAGGAGGGGTGGGACCTCAGACAGGTACAATGCCATAGACTCCACCCTCCAAACCAGCCAGTCCCTCATGGGGAACCATTGTTGCCAATATCCAGGTGGGGGCTGGAGGTCACTCAGAATTACAACTGCTCTTCAGATGGCAGAGATCAGTTCCCCTGGAGAAAATGGTGGACTATGTGTCATTATACCCTGCTGCAGTAACCACAGCAAACTGGCGCTGAGTGCCCAAGGCCGGGGCACTCTCCCAGACCCTCTTTCTAGAGCGCGTTGTATTTATTTCTACAATGGGCCTTATTCTTAGTGTCACAATAAATGGATTAGTTTTTAAGGTGCCTCAAGACCAGGGTTGTTTTTTAAAAACAACAACAACCTGCTGACTTCCACAATTTCCTCCTCTTAGGACTTGGGAGAGGCCCAAGAAAAGGTGCCACTACTCAGTACAGTAAGGGTGAGTACAATCACGAAACAAATAAACTCAACTCAAGACTGATTGATACATAGATAGATAAGCAGATAGATCAGTAGGAAGGTATGTCTAGTTTGCCCCTCCCTGTGATGCTTGCTGGACAGAAGAATGCATCCTAAGGAAATACTTTACCCATACCTGGGACGTGCCCCTGCATGTTAAAATGTCCACACCTTTCAAGACACTTGAGTTGGTCTTGAAACCAGGAAGTCCACTGCAGAATAAAGCAGAATGGTGGACCAATTTACAGTTATGTATCTAATTCTAGAGGAGCACCATGTTGCTGCAATTTTTTTAAAAAATATTCATTTACTTCATTTATAGGCCACCTTTCTTGCTGAAACTCAAGGAGGATTACAAAATGCAAAAAGGGGGGGGGTTTACAAAATAAAGAACACACCAAAAGAACAGTATAAGATAATGAAAGCAAAATTACAAAATTTGAAAACACATTAAAAACTTGAAAAGTCCTGATTTCAGCTCTAAGACTTTTATTTGGAAAAAACAAGACAACTTTAACCGGCTTGCAGGCCGGTTTATATCCCCTGACAACCCCACACCCAAAACACACCCCACTGGAGTCATTGGCTATTTACAGTGGCCGGGAGTCCCACAGGCTCTCTGCCAGAGCCTAGCCCTCCAATAGGCTGCAGGGTAGGATCCTGTAGACCATTGTTCCTCTGAGCGAAGCTCGGAGTTTTAGCCTCACTGCGTGGAGCCTTTTGTCTCCCACGCAGTCGGAGATCGGTATATTACAAAGCTGTATAATATATACAATGAACAGTCCAATAAAAACTGCCTAAAACTTCACAGACTAACTACTACCCTATTCCAGGATAAGCTTCTGTGAGCCTCTGACTCAGGAAAGTTTATGGCAGAATAAGTTCTGATAGCCGCTGGACTCCTGTTTAATTTAGGTAAGCAGAACTCGTCAGAGCTCTGGAAAGAAACTGAAAACCGTAGATTAAAATAAGTAAGGTCTGGATTGGGTAGAAGAACAACAACAGCCACCTAACAAATTGTCTGCTATGTGTAGATATGACACAAATAAGCATCTTGATTCTGTGGAGCTGCCGGTGCCATAGCCTACTGAACTAAACAGCTTTCCAGAACGGACAGCCTTTCCTTATTTTGACCCACTCACTGCGCCGTAGTCTTGAGGAAGTACAGTCGTTCGTAACGCAAGGCAATCTGGGAGTTGTAGTTTTCCTTCCTATCCCGTGCAGCAGACGCCTAGTTCTACAGCCCGGCCTGCGAACTACTGCTGGCATTAGGCCGGTGTCCTCCCGTTAAAATGGCGGCTCCCTTGGTCCTGGTGTTACTGGTGGCCGTTACCGTTCGGGCCGTGCTGTACCGATCCAGCCTGGCCGGCCTCATCTCCGAGAGGGTGGAGGTGGCGTCCCCTTTAAATGCTTGGAAGCGAGGTGAAGAACTGTATCCTCCTGGTTGCAAAAACGCAGGTCTTGCTCCGAGGCGTGGGAGTTGGAGAGAAGCAGGTTTCTCGCCTGGCCTCTAAAGGATCTGTCATTCCACCCGGAGGAGCAAGTCCTGGATGGGGTTACTCTTTAGCTTTGCATGTTTGTGTCTTAGTGAGATCTATCTTAGTCTGTCTATCGCCTTTTTCCTGACAGGATTCCTGTGCCTTTAACAACTGCATTATCTGCACAAATAGAGTGTCCAAACTTTTTCCTCTCATGGAAATACACTAAACAGCGCAAAAGCTTTCTTTGTGGGTGCTTTGCCAATTATGCAGGTGTACAAGGCAGAAGAGCCTTGGCAGAAAAAGATGCTGGCTACTCTGATTTCTTGCTGGATAGTTGCTTTCCACTTACTGTGTTGGAAGGGGTTGTGAGTCAGTGGTATCTGCTTTACATGCAGAAGGTCCAAGGTCCAGTGTTCGGTATGTGCACTTAAAAGAAATCAGGTTGTAGGTGATAAGAAAGACCTGAGACCCTAGACAGCCACTGTAAGTCACAGCACATAACACTGACCTTGGTAGCTCAATATGAGGCTGGTGATGTATTTGGAGAAAGAGGGCTTTACAGGAAAAATGCTATAAGAAAGTGACACAGGAATTTAGAGACAGGCAGTAACCAGTTGACCAACATGTAGGGGCTGACAGTTAAAATTAAGGCGATATGAATGATTTGTTACCTTATTTCCTTTATTCTCTCATTCAGTAATCAAGCATAGTACAAAAGCTGCATAAGAAATCCAGAAAACCGTATAATAAAATATAATTACTAAGGCATTATCCCTTACGTATAATATTTGGTTGAAATCAAGTGACTTTCTGGGAGGTTTGGCGTTGGAAATATATCCCTTGAACCTCATTACAGCATACCTTTTGTCTACTTCTGGTCTATGTCCAGCCCAGATGGTATCTGTCATCTGATTGTGCTAACAGCATCATAAACAATCATGGGGCTTTTGATACTGAGATACAAAAGTCTGTAACTGTAGGTCTTTCAAAGTTAATTTGCCAAACACATCTGGCTTTGCTGAAGATATTTTCAAAAATCACTGGCACAATTTAGCTGGGCATCCTTAGGGAACAAAACTTCATATATGAAGAATGGCACAGACCTTTAAATCCATCCTTCATCCCAGCTCACATTTATTTTCTCTCACTGTATTTTGATAGTTCTGGATCAGAAGCTGTCTGATAACACAGGATCCAAAATATTTCGGTTGTGTAAAATCATCTCCATTTTATATATAAAGCTATTCTCACACCTTACATGGTGAATTTAGGTCATGATTTGTGTAAAATCATCTCCATTTTATATATAAAATACCAGGGAGCCCTGACACCTTACATGGTGAATTTAGATCATGATTCTGTCAAAATCATGTACAGTTAGGAACCCTTGTGTCCTAGGTATGTTTTTTGTTCCTTTGTGGTACCGTAAAGTGCTGGAGTGGTGCTGTTATGTGCTGTCATTCAAGGCATTGGAAATAAAATATGTGCATGTAAAATTATCAGAATAACTCATGATTCATGTATAAGAAATTAATTTTGGGGGTTTGTATTTTAAAATAAGGATTAATGGCTATAAATTGCTTTATTGCATCCTTGAAATGTGGGATATGCAGAATGCATGGGCAGAGGAATTTCTTTTGCTTTCAAAGCTAGGGGCTGTAGGTATAAATCTTTAGGCTTCTTTGGGAACCCATTTTCTAAAATTTAGGCTTTTATGCCACTCTGAGTACATGAGGCATTAGATCCATGATTTTCCAGCAGGCAACCAGAGATGCTTTCAGTAAGATACAATTGTGCATGGTTCTTTTTGCACATTACTGTAACTTGTCTTAATTTTGGATACCTTGTGTTGTTTTTTTTCAGTGGTAGAGGGGCTAGCCTTGCTTGACTTGGGTGTGTCTCCGTATTCTGGAGATGTCTTTCATGAAGTAAGTGTACAGTGTTTTGGTTTACTAAATACATGTGATGCTATTATATTCCAAAAAATGCCTTTTTATCATAAAAATTGTAATCACTGTGAAGACAAGAGTACATGAGGCATTAGATCCATGATTTTCCAGCAGGCAACCAGAGATGCTTTCAGTAAGATACAATTGTGCATGGTTCTTTTTGCACATTACTGTAACTTGTCTTAATTTTGGATACCTTGTGTTGTTTTTTTTCAGTGGTAGAGGGGCTAGCCTTGCTTGACTTGGGTGTGTCTCCGTATTCTGGAGATGTCTTTCATGAAGTAAGTGTACAGTGTTTCAGTTTACTAAATACATGTGATGCTGTTATATTTTTAAAAAAAGCCTTTTTATCATAAAAATGGTAATCACCGTGGAGACAGTCTGTTTGCATGTGAGGACATGGGGAAACATGTGGGTGAATTCCCACAGACCCCTCTTTCTCCCCTGTCCAGTTCTGAGCCAGTGTGGTATACTGGTTAAGAGCGCTAGTTTAGTATCGAGAAGACCCAGGTTTAGATTCTCACTGGTGCCGTGGAAGCTCGCTGGGTGACCTTGGTCCAGTCACACTATCTCAGCCTAACCTATCTCACAGGGTTGTTGTGAGGATAAAATGGAGGCGAGGAGAAGGATATAAGGCACTTTTGGTCCCCACTGGGGAGACAGGCAGGGTGCAAATGAATTAAATAAAATATTTATTAAAATAATAAACAAACGAACAGCATAACAGAGCAATCTCAGGCGTGGAAGGTGTGCAAGTATACTTACCATATTCCCATGAAGCTTGCTTTGTGTCCATGCCATGGGCAATTACTCAAGCTTTGAATATCATATAATTTCTACAGTATGGCAAGGGAGAGTTGGATGAATGATTATAGGAAAGGTGTGCTTCTGCTGTCTGAACTGCCATGCAACAAGGAAGGATTATGCCGAGTGTCTTAGAGGGACTGCTTTCAATGTGCATAAATGCTGTGTGTGTTATGTGCCATCAAGTTGCTTCCTGCTTATGGCTACCCTATGAATTAATGACCTTCAGAGCATCCTCTCATTAACATTCTTGCTCAGGTCCTGCAAACTGAAAGCCGTGGCTGCCTTTATTGAGTCAATCCATCGCATGTTGAGTCTTCTCCTACTGCCTTGCTCCAGCATAAGGTTTCTTGAATCAGAGCCCACTTCAGATGCATGAACTATCTGGGGGCGACCCCCTCCCCCATACTTACTGGGCTATCCTGGGGAGATGCTGCATCCTGGTGGGGCTTCTGTCCCTGTAGCTTTGGGCCTTCCTGGAAGGGAGCCAGGGAATCCAGCTGACAGGCCCACAAGTAAGCTGCTGGCCAAACAGCAGGTCTTTGAAGGGCTGCTGCCCGCTCCTCCATTTAAGGCATGGGCATATCCAGCTGTCACCAGAGATGGGAGGGGATGGGTAAAAGGAAGCTAATATGTCCCACCTAAGCCTCTCGTGAGGAGTGGCTCTCCTTGTGAGTAGTCAAGGAGCCCTGACTGAGCCAGTGCACACTTGGGGGCCTCCAGCTGAGGATAGCCCAGTGCTGCCTGCGTAGATGGGGTCTCGGAACAGGTGGGCTCAGTTGGTTAGGCGTGGCCGCACTGCAGCAGACCAGCTGTTGGATGAAGCCCAGCGCAGTGCTGGGGGGACATGGCTGTCATGGAGGGAGGGCACAGGTGGGGGAAGGCAGAACCCCCATCCAGCTGGGTGGACTTGTGGACCCTTTGCAATAACTGCAGTGCCTCAGAGGCCCCTGAGCCAAAGGTTGGGAACCATTGTACTAGAATGAAATGTGTTTAAGGTGCTACAAGACTCCTGTTTATTTTTACGTCCTGTAGTGAGCTAATCATTTTGTGGTCTCAGTGTACTGAGACCTTTTCCCAGCTACCTTTACTGTCTTGGCTGAATATTGTGAATGATACCTGAATGAATGGATATGGACTTACATGTCGATCCATACTTTATGGAAGCCATGAGTGCAGTCTTTTTTGTCATTTCCAGCAAACGGGATTTTAAGAACAAATCTAATGATAAACTGCTTTTACTTGAAAGTAAATTGCCGAGGTCAACTGTTCTTTTATCTCTATTTGTTTTTCTTAGACACCACTAGTGATATACCTCTTTCATTTCCTGATTGATTATGCTGAACTGGTATTTATGGTAAGTGTTGCTTTTGTTTACACTTACAGCAAAATTGCATCTTTTCCAAAGTTCATTCCTTGATTTTGTGAAGTGTGGAGCAGTAAAGTTTCTTGAACAATGTCTTGGCAGGGATGATTTACGTGATGCAGTTTTCAGGCATCTAATAAGTGCTGCGCAGGGTTCTTGTGACTGTTTCTGCCATACAGAATGGCTGCTGTTTGTGTGATTCTCAGGTGGCAAATGGTTTGTGAACCATTTTCATAATGCATTTGAATGTGCATTTGGCTCAAAAATGGCTCAAAAATCAGGAAACACAGAAATCTGAGGCTGCAGTTTTAAGCATATTTACTAGCAAGTAAGTACCACTGAACTTAGTCGGATTTACTACTTTGGCTCACACTGTTTTTGTACACAGAAATATTTGATGGGGAGAAAATGGAATGTTTGGACTTAGTATAGAAAGACACCTGGGCACTGGTAAACAATGCTGCTGCAGTGTAATCAGCAAGGGATTTTGTTTTGACAACTGTGCTATAGTCTTATAGCAACAATAGCCCCCACCCATCTTTATTTATGTGATGTTCTCTTTACATTAATCATATCATGGTGCACATTAAATCTGTTGACATCATCCGTTTTAACAGAATCGCTTTCAGCTATCATGGGGTGCTTGCCAGGAAAAAAAAAACAGGGAGGATTTTTGCAGAGCAAATACATATACCACAGCTGTTTCTAGTATGCATACAACAAGACATCTGCACAGTGGATGACCCCTTGATAATTTATTTAAGCTCAGCTTGTGAGTTGGTGTGTGACTATGATCCAAAGCTTGAAAAGTGCTGCTTGCTGTTCCATGTGTTTTTAGGACTGGAGTTCAGTGCTATTAGTTGAAGTGGTATTTTACCATGATGTTAAGAAGATTTTCAATTGATATGCCTGGCAAGAATTTGGATATTGTATATTAAGAAGACCTACCTATAACTTTCCCCCCAAGTGTCAAAGCATCAGCTACACTTATCATGTTATTAATTAACATGAATCAGCTCTGGATCACAGTTTTTCCAGCTCCTTGAAGTAGGGAGTGACTTGATTAAGATCAGTTTTCCACAGTTTATGTAAAATCTTGTTATCTATTAGATCTATTTAGGAAGCTTTTATGCAGCTTTCCCCCTCTACAAATGCCCCAGGTTGCTCGAAATAAAACTTAAAATACAATAATGACAAAACATTAGTAAAATCCAGAAATACCGGTCCAGTTAGGCAAAAATCAAGCTTTTTCTAAGACCACCTGGGAAAAATACATCTTCAAGATTTTTTCCTCAAAACATTCAGTCTTCTAGGTCTCACAGGAGTTTTACAAAGTGTTGATAATCCACATGTCATGATTTTAACGTCACAGCTCAAAAAATATTATCTGAAGAGATTTCTGGCTGAGCGTGCTTGTACTATGAATCGCTGCTCGTTGGCCCATGGGCTGATTTCACTTTAAAATGTAACCTTTACATTGGCGATACTACACGTTGGATGTGTGTTTTTGAAAAAAACCAGTTTGTGCTGTTTTTCTTTAATCAACTTGTTGGTGATCCCTTCTTTAGATAACAGATATGTTGACTGCTGTAGCCCTCTATTTGGCCGTTCAGGACTACAACAAAGTTCTGGTAAGTAAACAAGCATCCTCTTTGGTTACAATTTTGTTCATGTTGCTGACCGTGCATTTGCTGTGCAATGTCTGCCCCCCCCCCCCCCCCCCCCCCGATCTCTTATAAACTTTTCCCTTCTTTGGCATCTTTATGCTTAAGGTTCTGTTGGCTCCTTCCTGCAGTTGCTCATGTCATGCCTGTGTGCTTCCCCTCTGCATTCTACTGTTTAATGGTTCCATCATAAGGAGATCCTTGCTGGATCAGACCAGTGGTCCATCTAGTCCAGCATCCTGTCTAACACTGTGTCCAACCAGTTCCTCTGCAGGGCCAACAACAGGGCATAGAAGCTGAAGCCTTCCTGGCACTGGGAATCAGAGGTTGACTGCCTCTGAACATGGAGGTTTCCTTTTGTCACCATGGCTAGTGGCCACTGATGATAGATCTGTCCTCCATGAATCTGTCTTTGTCTGTGGCCATAACTACATCCTCTGGCAGCGAAGTCTACATCCTAAGTAGAGTCTGAGTCAGTTGAAGAAGGGTGTAGCTCTGCTTAGGACTGCACTGTTAGTCTTTCACAGGATAATTTTGCACTACTGGGTTGTTGGGGTTTTTTTTTGTACTGTTGAAGGATTTCTTTTGTGCATTGAGCTGCAAGTAGAATTGAAACAGTGGTTCCTCACAGTGTTTAATATTGTATTTCTAATTCTGAACCTGGGCCTTGTGTGGATAGAAAAACCCAGAGAATGGAGAGAATGGAGTCAGTTTCATGCATCAACCAGGTTTGCAGAAGGCCCTCCCCCTTTTGGTTAGACTATTTTACAGGAGCGAGGAACAGCTGCCCTCCACCTCATGAGCCAGGCAGGCAGGGGGGGAGGAGAACACATGGTGGTGGTGGAGAAGGAGCCATAACCAACATCTCCCCCCCCCCCATCACCACTGTTTAACCAGCTGAGCTGGTTGGAGTGGGAGTTGCCACCATCAGTCACGCCCTTTGCTGCTGGTGGGTGGGCAAGAAGGAGGGCGGGGGAGTGGAATCGCTACCATCACTTGAGCCAGTCAGGCAGAGGCTGTGGGTGCTGCAAGTGGGTGTGCAGGCAGGCCATGGAGAATGGAAGCAAACCCAGGCCCCTCCCCCGGTAGCCACACGAAACAGGCAGGTGCTGCTGCTGCTGCAAGTGGGTGGGCTAGCCAGTGAATGGCTGGCCTGGCAAGCAAGTGGGGGAGGATGGGATTCCCCCCTCCCAGTGAGTCTCGAGGATCCCTTGTTTGTTACACTGAATTCCTCATAAAAATCTGCCAGTGCTCATCCCAAGGGCAAGAGCAAACCCTTATGATTAGTTGGGAATAGACCCCCTTTGCCAAAGGTCCCATGATACGCAGCAATTGTTCCTGCAAACATGTTACTTTCCAGTCACTTCTAGAGATGTGACATCCCGGGGGGGGGTGATGGGAAAATTGGGG